CTTGCAACAATATACTCTTTAATATCTTGCATGTACATAGAAGAATCAGCACATTTTTTTTCAAATTATTAGCTATTGGGCAAATGGCATAGCAGTAAAAATGTACTGCATACTGTATATTTCATGCACCAATGATGATTCACTAAGACAAATTAATCAAGCATGTTGCAGTACAAGATTTAGCTGATGGCTGTGTGTCTAGCTTGATGGCCACAAGTTTTGTGAAGTATAGATCTTACAGTGGATACATTCCTTTCTAAACACAGGCATTAAAAAAAGACCTTAGGGTAGTATGTTTATTTGTACATGGGAAATCCTTTCTGAAAAAAGATCCTTGCTTTGTAAGATTTCAATAGTTGCTACCCAGCTCTTTTATTGCTTATGACACAAACCTGCCTTCAGTATTCCGTTGCCTTTGAAACCTTCCTGCTCTCATTTGTTTCAAAGTAAAAATAATAATAACTTTAATATTTTTGGGGTGACATGATTTTTTTGTTTTTGAAATTTGTTATTTCATTACAAATTTTGCTTTCAGGCAGCCAGCGAGCAATGTTCAAGCAGGCAATGCGACACTGGGAAAAATATACCTGTGTTACATTCATTGAGCGAAGTGATGAAGAAAGTTACATTGTGTTTACATACAGGCCTTGCGGGTAAGTTGGTATAAAAGATATTGATCCTAATGAATTGTCAGCCTCACCAGGGGGACCAGATCAGAAAATCAACTCCATGGAAGAGATTTATAACCATAAAACCTTCCAAGTCTGATTGTGCTGTTCCTTCATTCTTATACTCTGATGAATTAGGGAGGCATCTGACCTGCTTCCAAATATTACCTCAGGACTTAAAGAATGTTTAAATGTTTCAGCCCATTCAGGTAATGGTTCCTGCATATTTCTGTTAAGGTCACTCCTTTACTCTGTACATGAATTGAGAGCTTAAGTAGTTATGTTATTAAAATGTTAATGCTTAATGTTACTTCAGTGTCATATGCTTAACAAATATGATACACGCACACTTCATATATTTAGCTGCTTTATGCCTGGAAGCACAGAATAGAAAGAGAACAAAGAGCCATAAATTTCAGTCTCCTATTGCAAGGCACCTAGGTATAAACATGCAGTCTAGACTATAATTTGTTGCCGCCAGTTGAGAGCTCTGTTTTAAAAAGAAACTTGTAGACTAGCTATTTTCATACCTAACTATTTTTTACAGTTCTTTATGGATTGATAACTAATTTGCAATATCCCTCCAAGTGTACACTGGGGAAATTAAGAGAAGAGAAGTGAAAAACATGTCATGACACAAAATTCACAGCCTATATACTTATATCAGGTTGTGGGATACAAATAGATATGGTTGGGATTTGTGTCATAAGATCATTGAACTTGTTTTTTCATTTTGATGTACTCTCAGTGTTGATAATAACATTTGTTTTAAGCATAATCATATACAGTATATGGTATAACAGTTATGATCATGATTCAAAAAGTTAGTATGCCTTTGCAGCCAATTTTACAGGGCAAACCTGGTGAGATTTTATTAAACCGTTTTCTTTTAAATGGTAAATCTTTCCCATATCACAACTGATGTTATATTTTCCATGTATATATCTATTGATTTATTAAACTTATGATTCTTGGCAGTTCAAAACAATTACAAAATACAACAATAAAGTGGTACATTAAGCTGATTTAAAATTAAAATAGCCAGTTTGGTGTCATGGCTAAAGCATGATGCTAGAAACTGGGAGACCATGAGTTCTAGTCCCGCCTTAGGCACAAAGTCAGCTGGATAACTTTGGGCCAGTCACTCTCTCTCAGCCCTAGGAAGAAGACAATGGCAAACCATTTCTGAAATCTTGCCAAGAAAACTGCAGGGACTTGTCCAGACAATCATCAGGAGTCAATGCAGAACTGAAGGCAAATCATCATCATCAACAAAATCACCATCAATCAATTGCAAAAGGCAGCTTTGCTTGGAACAGTTTACATCCTGTGATGATACCTTTAACACCATCAAATCACAACTGCCTATCCCAGGTCTTTGGGAAGGACTCAACAGG